TAATATCTAAACGAAAATAAGATTTTTATTTGCCTTTATTTCGGCTAAGTATCCTAAAAGTAAACGATGTATTTAACACAAGGAATAGGCAATGAGGGAGGGTTAATTTTTGGTTGAAATACTCTATAATTCGTATAGCTCATAGCAAATAAAATGTGCTGAAGATAATAAAAAATTTTAAGGAAATTTAGGAACTATCAATAAGTTCAAGTATATCTGATCCTTGTAAATTATTTAACGACGAATTGGTAAAACTGTCAGTAAAATACACCATCAAGAAAGGACCTTGGTTTATGGCCTAATGAGGTCAGAGTCGTCGCGAGATAACTCTCTTCAAAGCCAGAGCTGCAGAAATATCGAATTTGAAAGTTTCTTTGTATCTTCTATTTATAAGTAGGTTTTCGAGACTACCACTATATCTTGTATATTAGCTGTATCAAGCATATTTACTTTAAGGCGATGAAGGAACGATAGGTGAATTTTTCCAGTCATATGAGAAGGCCTTATGTCTCCATTGGATTTACATGGCCTTGCTTCCCAGAAGGTATTCTCATCCAGGATGGATTGTAATTCAGTATGAGACTTCTCATATTGTTCATTTACAGGTATGCGAAGAAAAGTTGGGTTTCGATGAATCTCTTGCTTCATAATTGCTAAGCTTACTTCCATTTCGAGTGAAAGTGTTTGATAAAGAGATTCGAAGGTCGATTCCACTAGAAGACGACAGCGAAATTCTCTTGATCAGCTGTCGAGGCTTTACTGGAACATTCCTGCTGACGATGTTTCCAAGGTAATCTCCTTCGATTCCGGTGAAAAGATGTTAAGCTTTCGTCCGTCATATGACGAACATCATCAAAGCCATCTGCCATCGTCACAACCAAATTCAAGCTACCGAGTCAAGAAAACTCAACTGCAAATCCTTAAAAAGCTTTATATATACTCTATATCTGGCCTCTTTGATGAGGAACTAACCAAATCACTTTATAGCTCATAAAAGAGGCCAGATATAGAGTATATATACGGCTTTTTAGGGATTTGCCGATGAGTTTTCTTGACTCGTTAGTTTGAATTTTGTTGTAACGATGATATCTTCCTCTGATGATGTTCGTCATTTGATGCACGAAAGCTTAGCACCTTTTACCGGAATTGAAGGAGATTATCTCGTAAACAGCGTCAACAGGAATGTTCCAGTAAAGCCTCGAGAGCTGTTTAAGAGTAATCAGCCGTGGTCTTCTGGTGGAATCGACCTTCGAGTCTTTTACCAAACACTTTCACTCGATATGGAAGTAAGCTCAATAATTTACAGGTAGACTTGAAACCCTACTTATAAACGAAATATAAGTAATGTAGTGGAGTGTAAAAGCTAATATAACTTTGCCTTATCGACAATCACACCGAGGAATGTGATATTAGAAAATACCTGGCCTTCCTTGAAATTCTCATTTGCCCTGTGACCCAAGAGAATTCGCGACAGTGTGGTGTAGTGATTAGCGTGTCGAGATTATACGCCGCATTGTCATGGTTTGAGTCACACTGAGGGTGTTGATAGGACCCAGGCAAGGTCGAAATTGCGATACACTCTGGATGAGAATACCTTTGGGAAAGCAAGGATTTGTGAAGTATAAACAATTATACGAGACAATGAAAGGATCCGGATTGGAGGCCCGAGTCGGATAAGCCCATCGAAAGAGAGGGGTCGGGGTAAATAGCAAGTGTGATGAGGCCACACTAGGTTTTCCACAAAAGGACACACATTTTGACGATTGGAATGTAAACAAGTGAGAAGTTGTAACAGGGCGGCAGTGGGATAAGAGGGTAAAGAGTAGATAGACGATGACAGAAAGAGAAGTGATAGTGTAACCGTTTCCAGCAGAACGGTTGTCGATGAATTGACTTCACTTGTCTCTTTGACAATTTCGTATCTTGGTGCGGAGAATGGCAAAGCTCACTGATGATGCCGGCGAAACGTTTCAGAATGTATTAAGTCCCCTGTCACATGCTGGGAATCATGACAACTACTATGGCAGACGACTTCGGACTATGTGCGTTCTATATAGTCTCCCTGACCACAAAACCAAGTTGCGACAACGAGGTCAACCCACTTCTATAAATCTAAAGAAGAGTGTGACCATAACAGAGGCCACAACATCTTGGTCTTCATATATTCAAGGATTCATTTAATTGTACTAAAATTCAACTACCAGTTCTTCATCACCCTAAACGAAATTGGATGAATACATCTCATATTTATGTATTTTGCTTAAAATTCGAATTAGCATAGTTAATCTATCTGATTTTATGCGATTTCCCAAATATTTAACAAAATCGGCTAATTAAAGCATGGAAATCACGACCACATAGTGATCAATATAATGACAGACATAAGTGAGAAAATGTTGGGTACAGAGGGTTCAAATATTTTATACTAAATTCAAAAATATCTACACCAAAAATATGATCTGCGCGCTACCTACCTTTGTATAGGCAATAGCATCCAATCTAATCGGATCCAGTTCACCGGCCTCTTTGAGGGCTTGCTTGACCAGCTCTACGATATGCTTCATGTGGTGTCGAGCAGTCTCAGAAGGCTGGAAACCTTCACCAGGTGGAGTGATATAAGTTACGCGAGGGTTAGACAGGACCACACCATCTTGAACCACACCAATGCCCAATTTATTGGCACTGCCCTCCATACCCAATATAAGCACCATCTTAGAACAAATAAATAAAAAAGTAAAACACCAGTAGAATAAATTAGCTGTAGCTCAATAAAAGAAGTATTGGTTTCGCTTCTATTTGGAGAGAACAGAAAGTGCAAAGTTTTTGTGATTATTAGTACTTAAGGATTCCACATCGGTTTTCTCAAATCAGATGAGCCTTCAAGAGCTTGGACGAAAAAGATATTCCGTGAAAATGATGGCATAACATAGTGCTACTGACAGGACCATGCACTTGTATCAAGTTACACACTGCAGTGCTGAGCCTGCAGAAAAGCAGAATTAAAATTAAATGTGAGACCTTTATAAGTTTGCTGGAATCCCCTGCCACGAAAGGCACGGCATTTTGACTGCATTCTCCGCTAGCCCAGTAGCAAGGCGACTGAATTTTGGATAAACCCCGAAAGCTACTTTCGTTTAGAAAAGTCTATGTGCTTGGTTGAATCGCATGGCATTTATATAATTCTCGTCATGAGCTATGCGTCACAACTACTTCGTGGAAAATCAAAATTCCCCGCAGCAACTCACTTAAAGGTAACCGAACTCAAGAGAAGCAGCCATCTGTCCTGAGCTACATCCATTTCTTTTGGGCGGGATCCTCTGCCAAGCAAATTGGGCTAGAGTCAAGATGAGTTTAACTTTCGAAATTAAAGCATACCCCACATCTAGTCGACGTTGTGAATAACGATTACAATGCTTGCTGATGTGATAGGTAAATTTTAGTCTCGGCATGCTTCTAATACAGATTCGGTGAATTCATTCAAGCAGCTTTTTCTGCGCCTACAGCTAAGCTCCGTAAGGAATTGAAGAGAAGGAAGAACTTGTGTAGCGACATTTGAGTATGCTTTTGAGACTAAACCCTCTCAAAAAGTCTATAGATGTTTTAACATGTGGAGACGATTCTGGTTGCCATAATCCTTCTTTTTCTTTAAGGTAGTGAAGGCTGTTAGAATGTATAATTTATAGTCCAGATATCCGGAAAGATGAACAAAATTTTCGCAATGATAAGCTTATTCAGATTCCCTAACCAAAAGGCTCCTGAGGCTGAATCGATCCACTTAAGATGCCCGTGAACATAAGTAATCATAAGATTATTCGATGTAGGGGTTCAGAGGACAGATATAATTGTAGCGGGAGAATGAGGCAACCAAAATAAAAATATACTTAAACCGAAATTGTAAAAAGTCAGAACAAAAGCGAGAAAATAAAACG